AAGACCGTTGGATATGTTTCTTTAGTTGGTGAAGAAATTAATTCGGGTTGGACAGTACAGGGAAATTTCTTTAGTTTATTTTGGACCTACCAAAAAAGGAAAATGTGAAGTTTATTTAGTATCGGAGGGAGTATCTGATTATAGCAACTTGACAGATACGAAATTAATTTTAGCAATTTGATAGTCGAAATTTTTTATGTGATTATATTTTATCTGATTACATTTAACTGATTAAACTTATCTGATTGTATTTTATCCGATTATGTTTTATCTGATTATATTTTATTGGGAGATTTTCCAAAATAGAAGTAAATGAAGTTTGAAATTCCGAAATAGGACTACATTGTTTTTATTCCCGAAATTAGACTAACATGGCAGTATTTACTGTCATCTTGTAGTCGTGACTGCCAAATAATTGTAGTACAGTGCATTTAACATGACAACATTTATTATAATTAATGACATTATTTTTCAATCATGGCAGTATTTTTCATACATGACACTAATAACTCCTATTTCGGGAAGAAAAACATACTAGTCCTATTTTTGGAAATCCAAGTGTCATTTGCTCCTATTTTGGGTAATTTCCCTATTTTATTTGATTATATTTTATCTGATTATATTTTATCTGATTAGTTTTATCTGATTATATTTATTTGATTACATTTTATCTGATTATATTTATCTGATAAACGTTATTTGATTATATTTTATTGATTATATTTTATCTGATTATATTTTATCCGATTAATTTTATCTGATTATATTTAACTGATGATTAAATTTTATCTGATTATATTTATCTGATTATATTTATCACATTATATTTTATATGATTAAGTTTTATTTTATTATATTTTATTTTATTACAATTATGTGAACAAAAACTTTAGGCACAAAGAAAACAAATATTTCATTAGTGATTGGATGCAATACATAATATCCAACAGATTGATTATACATAACAAAATTACTTGGGTTCTCTCCTTCTTGGACGCCGATCCATTTCGTTAGTGAATTTTGTTCTTTGCGGCCTACCAGTTGTAGCGGATTTGCTGTTTGTGGGCAGGAGAATTGTGTGATCTGACTAGGGGGTGTTCGAAAAATATGACGCGTTTAAACAAAATTTGACCCATTAAGTCATATGAATTCGAAAAAAGTAGTTGATGGATCGCCGGACTAGGGGTAGTCAGAATCTAAGTAAAATGAGAGAGAGAACTGATCGGAAAGTACAAGTATATAATCCGGCAGAGTAACAGTATGAGAGTTGAGAATGTGATCCCTTTCCACAAGCGGGAAGGTGATATTTATACTAGAATAGGCATGCAATACTTGGTGCCCAAGTAAAAAGATGCTGATCTAATAAGAAGGGGACACGTGTCCAGTCTATCCTAACAAACTAACAGTCTAAGTCGATGGGGCGCAACCACGTGTAAAGGTGATTGGAGAGATAGTCTTAGACAACTGGCTGATTGAAGTTATTTCTAACAGAATGCCACCAGAACACTCGTGTGGTTATGCATGTGCACTTCGGAATATTATCCGTTGCTAGGAATGACGTGGCAGTGCCTCCTTGTGATGTTGGTCCTTGCGGATTGGAGACTCGGGCTTACTGCTAGAGAGTTGGTTCTCTGTTTCTGGTTCTGTTCCTGGGAGTGCTGACTGTCTGGTGCCATAGCTGGTTGACTTTGTATTGACTCCCGAGGTCGGGATTGGTGCCGAGCCCGGTACCTTCGAGGTTGGGCTCATAACTTGCCGCGTTTGGTCGATTCCTGAGCCTAATATTTTCTAGAACTCGAGGTCGGGGTCGGATGACTCCTTGGCCCCTGATTATTCTGCTGCCTGGCGCTTGTTCCTGGGCCTGGTCGGTCGAGGTCGGGGTCGGTTCCCGTTGTGGACTTAGTCTTTTTGTGCACTCCGGTATGGATCTGTGATGCCTTATGTCGGCGATTATGATACCCCTGGGGTATATGGGAATATACTTCATCATATTCATTCTAAAGTCCAATAATGATTGAGAGCATGTGTTATATTTTATTTGACCCGATAAAATAAAATATAATTAAAACAGTCCGAGAATTGAAATACAACTTTCGGGGTCAAATGTATACTTTGGGACATATTGGGATGACCTCCGAAATCGGTAGTTTTTACCCCCAAGGGATACGATGTACACAAACCTTGGACAGTAAATGATCCTAAATACAACAGGTTGGGTTGAGTACCCTTGGGCGGTAAATGATCCAGAATACTCCTGGTTGGGGTTGCGTACCCTTGAGCGGTAAAAGATCCAGAATACTCCAAGTTGGGGTTGAGAACCCTTGGACGGTAAATGATCCTAATATATTGGTTTTAATATGGAAATTATTTATAAATTTATAAATATTGGATTCTTATCAGTACTCTACACATCCAGATGCATATTTTCCCACATTTCCTGATTCGTCATTTTACCATGAAGACACGGTGGGGGTTTGGAACACTGGCGGCGGGGACATATCCGGTCCGAGCACCCAACCTATCGTTGAACAAAGACGAAGACGCAAACCGTTACATTATTTATCATTATATGTAGTATTAAAGTTATTATTTTATGCATATATTTATTAGTAAATTACATTGTTATTGAAATTACAAAAATTGCATTTTAAACAAAATCAAATTTGTATTTCATTTTATGAATTTAATTCATAATACTCATGGATTAAAAAAAAATAAAGTAACAATATTACTTTTAAAATTCAGAAATACTAATAAATTATAAACTTAAATTTAAAAGAAATTAAAAAAGCATATGATTTTCACCCAACCTATTTTTACTGAGTGCCTACTAACGGGTTTCACTCCTTGAGCATATGTACGTAGTCGGATTCTAGTATTCAGACATGAAATTAAAAAAAACATGCATCTAGTCGGATTAGGGAAATCCGACACACGAAGAGGCTGAGAAGAGGTGCTCCGGCCTTTGATATGTGTGCTCCCTCTCCAACAAATCAAGCATTAAATAGTTGACCGGAAGTGGGAATTTGGCCGAGCTGGGTCCGTTCATAATAAAGCTATTAATGATTGTTTAGTGAATTCTTAATTACAATTTTATTGAACATGATTTACCAGTTTTTTCTACCTTTCCTCTCTTTTTTCTCTTTGGAGAGAGCAAAGTGGAGAACGCACATTCGTGTGGACGACTGATGTCTTTTCTATCTTTCCTCTCTTTTTTCTTTTATCGTGTATCTTCTTTATCATTGTATATTCTTATGTTATGTTTATATTCTAGCTTTTTTATGCTCTTTTTTATCGTTTATCTTTCTTATATTCTTGTGTTATTGTTATCTTATATTTATTTATCTTTATTTTATTTGTTTTATCTTACTTTCTTTTTTTCTTCCCTTTCTTGTCCATCTTCTCGGTTTGGCATCGATATCATCGATCGATTCATGTTAGCCGACCCCAAATTCTTTTGGGATTAAGGCTTGGATGTTATTGTTGTTGTTGTTTATTTCTTGGTTTTAACATATTTTTATTTGTGAGGGGATTGATTTTTTTTAACTAACAAATCAAACTGTTTTAACAATTTAATATGAGGGGATTGGATTTTTTTTTGTAAATGTACAATAAACTTTCCAAACACATGCATTAGTGACAATTAAATCATCAAACATACGAATATTTGCACATTCTGATAAGCATTTATTAGCAAACAAATAACATGCTAATAAATAAATAAATAATTAAATAAATAAATAGATAAGGGGTTTTTGATTATAATATTACCGATAAGTGAATGATCGAGACAAAGAAGTGACCTTTTACTTAATTTTCAAATCTCTATTACTCCATCCGTTCGTAAATAAACTTCTAACTTTCCGTTTTCGTTCGTCCAATTAAAACTTCCACTTTTCCTTTTTAGTGAAGAATTTGTAGTTCACAATGTTTCTTACACATTTCTCTCTCCTCTGCACAACTCTCCACCACACAATACTCACTATTTTAAAATTTTGTGCCAAATCTAATTTGAAAGTTTTAATAGGAACTAGGGATGGCAACGGGGCAGTTCGGAGTCGGGTATACCATTACCCGTACCCGCCCCGTTTGATAATAATTTTCCCCGAAACCGCCTCGTTACCCGTCGGGTATTTTTTATCTGCGGGTAACGGTTTTCCCCGCGGGTAACCGTTTTATTAAAAGATAATTTTTTTCTTCAAAACTAGTATAAATCCTAAAATGATGATTAAAAACTTATAATTGACCACCTAAATTAAAAAAATCAAAATTAAATAGCACCACATATAAAGTTTTTTTTATCATCACATATAAAGTAACATCACAAAAAATTACAATCGTTTGAACCTAATATTCACAAACTATATATGTCTAGATTCAAAATTATGAATCTCTTACCACATCAACATCAAAAAATTAAGTCTTCTCGATAGTAAAATCTAAATATGAACCACAAAATTATTTAACTTCAAAAAATTCAATAATCATACCCCACCAGCATTCAACATCTAAATTTAAGAACAGTAATGTATACAAGTAACATAATGAAAATGAGAAGTTTTTTCCTTAAAATATTACTAATAAAAAATATATGGGCATAAATATGACTATAAGTTACCATGGGTAAGTTTTATAGTCACTACGATATAATAAACATTAAAGTTACTAGGGTCACATTTTTGTCCACAACTTTTATTTTGATTATAGATTTGGAATTATTTCTAAAACATGTACTTCTAATATTATGATTTAGGTATTTTTGTTGTTACTGTTTTAGAAACCTCATAATTTAAATTTAAAACTTGATATAAATTAGAGCAACCAATCAAAATTAATCTAATCATCCCATTTTGACCGGTTCGGTTCGATGCGGGTATCCACCGGGTCGGGTTAAATTACTATCCCTAATGGGAACCGAGAGAGTATCTTTTACTCCAATCTCTGCGATCTTTTACTCGAAATGTTCTATATATACGCATGTACCGAATACCGACTCATGGGTTGTCGTGAAATTCAATTCAATTAAGACGGCCGGCGGGAATGAAGAAACGCGGGCAGGGTTTGTGGTCGTGCGGTGAAGTTACTATTCATGTATTCCTCGCAGCCTTTTCTGTAACGGCGGCAGCGGCGGCGCTGTCAGATAGTGAGGCCGCAGTAATCCAAGAACTGAAGGAGAGTCTTAACATTGATGACGGCACTTGGAATCCGATGACCGACAAGTGCAATTGGACAGGCGTCAATTGCGATGTCCCTCGGAGCTCGGTTTTAGGTGTATTAATTGCGGACTTTAATCTCAGCGGGACTCTGCCGGCAAGTGTAGGAAACCTCACCCAATTGCAGGCATTCGATGTGAGGGGCAACCGCATCACCGGGCCGGTTCCCGACTTTAACGGGTCGGTCAATCTCCTTTACCTCCTCATTGATGGAAACTCCTTCACTTCAATCCCGCCCACTCTATTCGACTTCAATCCTCAACTTACTTACGTTTCTCTAGACTATAACCCACACCTTTCCCCATGGAAGATCCCCAATAGTCTGAAGACCTGTTCGAACCTCACCTATTTCTCCGCCGTCCATTGCAACCTTAACGGGACCTTCCCGGCCGTCTTCAACGACCACAATTTCCCGATCTTAAATACCCTTCGTTTGATGTCCAACCATTTATCCGGGAAGATCTCTCTCGCCCAGCTGCCCGCCTCTTTGGAGACTCTGTGTATCAGCGCAGGACCTAGAGAGGGTCATGGCGACGCAAGCGCCCCCGCACCATGTTCAGAAAAACACTTCTATTAGTCTTTTGGATCAAACGGGATAAAAAACATGAGGGCCTGTTTATTAAAGAGATATTTTCTTACTCTATATTTCTGTTTTTCGTTCTCCAATTTTCTGTTTTTATTTTTCAGCTTTCCTATCTCCAGTTTTATGTTTCTATTTTCTAGTTTTCCATTTTCAAATCTGAAAACATGTTCATCAATTTTTTCACCCAATTCTGTGATCATCTAGAAGACTGACACATTTTTTTCACAGGTTACTAAATAGTGCTTAGTAAGACTGTAACACCCCCAAATTTCCCACCCAAAACGTTGACATAATTGAAATAAAACTTTTATTTATTCATCAAAGAGTTAAAGAAATACAGCGGAAGTCTAAAATAGGGAAATGAGTGTTACCGCCACATCCGGTCGTCTCTCAACCGGATGCACAGGCAACTAGAACATAACAACTAATTTAATAAAAGTAAAGTGTTTGATTTTATTACTCACTTTTATTAATCATTCCACTTTATTAATTTGGCCATGCTATGAGTTTGGGCTCATACAAGTTTTACTCACTTTTACTCACTTTTATTAATCATTCCACTTTATTAATTAATTATACAAGTTTATTTTATTACTCACTTTTATTAATCATTCCACTTTATTAATTTGGCCATGCTATGAGTTTGGGCTCATACCCCATAGTCTATATAAACTGCCCAGACCTATTAGATAAAAAAAAAGTCCGGCCCAATTTTTGTTATTAAACTAGCAGCCCAATTTTTGTTATTAAACTAGCAGCCCAATTATTATAAAAATTCGGAGTATGCATGATACGTACTGTAGCTGTCATCTTCTTCCAAAAGTACCGGCGAGCAGAGTGACTAGCTTACCTTCTTCGTCGATGGTGGAACGACCAGCAGCTCCTCCTGCCCGATGAAATTGGCGACGCAGTACGGCGTGGCTCAGTTGTCCTCCCCGGCGGGCAGCTCTTCTTCTTCCGGCGTAGATCGAGACAGTTCAGCTCCGGCAGCTTCTACAGACCTGCGGCGATTCCCGAAAAAGCCTCCAGTGACGCTTAGAACAAAGGAAACTGTAGTTGAAATGCCGTCCTTCGGTGGTGCATGTGGCGACAGCTTGGTTTGTTTTCCGGCGACCCTAACGGCACGGCCAGAGTGCTTCTCTATCCCGACGACCTCTGGCTTGAATACTAAACCCGGTACAGCAGCTCTGCTACTCCAATGATGATCCCCATCTTCTTCTCTTCTGACTGGCAAAGGCGTTGACGTTGTTTGTTTTGGTTACTTCCTGTTGATCGGTCGTAGTATATATATATATATATATATATATATATATATATATATATATATATATATATATATATAGTATATATAAGCCATAGTATATGTTACGTCGTTAACTCCAACTTCGTACGGAGTCTACTTCGCGTACGTTGCTTGTTGACCGGGTGGGAGTTACGTGCGTTAATGGTAAATATAGAAGCCTTCTTCACTTTGGAGTGCATCTTCTGCGTGATCAACGGCCTAACGGAGCATTTTTCTACGTAGATTATTGTAACGCACGTTTTAAGAGTATATCAGTTTGTATATTTTATACACAAATTAAAAAAGGAACTTTTATGTGATATGTATAATTGGTATTTGCTATAAAACATCATTTTCATAATTATTAAAAGACGTTACTTCTATTATATAAACATTTTTATTTGACTAAAACGTCGTAAACTTGGAACTTTTTATCTTATTAGAATGTCACAACTGTTGAATACTTGTTTGACTCACTTAATAATAAAATGTTATTTCCATAACATTTTATCTGACTAATAAAAATTATTTTTATTTTTATTTAAATTTTTGGAGTGTCACATTCTACCCTCCTTACAAGATGTTTCGTCCCGAAACATAAACTAAAGTCAAATGACAAAATTCTAAAGTATTACATTCTATCTCCCTTAAAAGAATGCTTCGTCCCCGAAGCATAAACCTAAAATTTTCTTAGGAGTGTTCCCATTCAATTTTCTACTCCATCACATACCTAGGAGCAAATATGCACATATGCCCTAAAGTTCTTCTCGCTAGTACTAATCAAGTCTTTTGAGCAACATAACACCAATACGTCTATCTTAATTAGGCAACAGTCAAAGTTCACATGATTTTACATCATTCTTATGTCATCAAAATTAATCCAACATAAATCATAACAAATTAGGCATCCCACCATCTCACCGCGATCCTAAGCCTTAAACTTTATTCCTAATCAGGTTCTTTAATCCTAATTAATAAAATAATTAAGTCAATTAAAAATTTAGAAAACCTTTAAAAATGATTTTGAAAACATTTAAAAGATTTTGTAAAAGAAAGGGCTCTGATACCAATTTGTAACACCCCCAAATTTCCCACCCAAAACGTTGACATAATTGAAATAAAACTTTTATTTATTCATCAAAGAGTTAAAGAAATACACCGGAAGTCTAAAATAGGGAAATGGGTGTTACCGCCACATCCGGTCGTCTCTCAACCGGATGCACAGGCAACTAGAACATAACAACTAATTTAATAAAAGTAAAGTGTTTGAAAAGTAAATGTTTATTTCATGACTAGTATAACTAAGGCGACTTCTAACTCGCTCTCGACCATGCAAGCAATCATCACTCGACAACATCATCCTCACCTGCACAAATAAAGTGCAGAAACAAAACAAGGAAAAGAAAACAAAAATTAGCTTTAGAGCTAAGTAAGTACTACCCAACCCCGTAAAATAATTATGTTTGACTAAAATAGTTTTTTATATAATAATATATAAAAATACTCACACCATCGAAATTCTTTTCACTTTGATCTTTATCAAGACTACTTCTTTACAAAAATCCTCAACTTCTCTATAAAACTTCATAATAACTCTTCTCTTTGATTTTCTCAAAAATCACTTCTTATCTAACTTCCTAGTAATTTAGAAGGGCGGTGCTCAACCTTTCGGTAGAGCCCGGTGGACCGTGGTTACGGACGGCCACCCCGAACAAGTGCCGGTACCACAACTGCTCTGTTGGAAACGAAACGACTACCTTAAGTGTGCACACCCCCTAAAAGGGATCCCAAGCCCTCCGAGTAGTAAGTCATCCCGAGTGGTCGGAACCCAACCACCCCAATTCTAAAATTCTTGAATGATTAGGGACTACTACTATAACTTCTTCTTAAAAGGGATCATAGATCCAAATCTCACTTAAAAGGGATCATAGATCCAAATCTTACTTAAAAGGGATCATAGATCCAAAACTTAAACTGTACTTCTTAGTAGTAGTAGCTCTAATCACCCTCCACATTTATCCGGATGTGGAAAAACCGACACCTCGGATTACTCCTGAGATGCTCACTTCTTATGAAAATGTAAATTTTATCTTCGCTTAATAATACTTCAAAAATACTTCTTAATTTCTCTAAAAAGTCTCGAAGGTATTTAAAAATATTTAATACCCCAAAAGTACTTGATTTATACTTCTTAACTACCATATATATAATATCTTCTCAAAATCACATTCACAAAATTCACAAATCACACTTAATCACATAATGCATAATAAGCATATAGTACGAGGAAACAACTTTGGATTGGCAGAGAAACTTACCTCAAATCTGATGCTCCTAATTCACGTCATCTACTTCAGTCTCTAAATGGTCACCTTTTTAATTAAGATGATATAATTAGTCATTTATTCTATTCTTAATAATTTAACCATCATTCGAATATTATTAATTAATTATACAAGTTTATTTTATTACTCACTTTTATTAATCATTCCACTTTATTAATTTGGCCATGCTATGAGTTTGGGCTCATACCCCATAGTCCATATAAACTTCCCAGACCTATTAGATAAAAAAAAAAAGTTCGGTCCAATTTTTGTTATTAAACTAGCAGCCCAATTATTATAAAAATTCGGAGTATGCATGATACGTACTGTAGCTGTCATCTTCTTCCAAAAGTACCGGCGAGCAGAGTGACTAGCTTACCTTCTTCGTCGATGGTGGAACGACCAGCAGCTCCTCCTGCCCGATGAAATTGGCGACGCAGTACGGCGTGGCTCAGTTGTCCTCCCCGGCGGCAGCTCTTCTTCTTCCGGCGTAGATCGAGACAGTTCAGCTCCGGCAGCTTCTACAGACCTGCGGCGATTCCTGAAAAAGCCTCCGGTGACGCTTAGAACAAAGGAACTGTAGTTGAAAGGCCGTCCTTCGGTGGTGCATGTGGCGACAGCTTGGTTTGTTTTCCGGCGACCCTAACGGCACGGCCAGAGTGCTTCTCTATCCCGGCGACCTCTGGCTTGAATACTAAACCCGGTACAACAGCTCTGCTACTCCAATGATGATCCCCATCTTCTTCTCTTCTGACTGGCAAAGGCGTTGACGTTGTTTGTTTTGGTTACTTCCTGTTGATCGGTCGTAGTATATATATATATATATAGTATATATAAGCCATAGTATATGTTACGTCGTTAACTCCAACTTCGTACGGAGTCTACTTCGTGTACGTTGCTTGTTGACCGGGTGGGAGTTACGTGCGTTAATGGTAAATATAGAACCCTTCTTCACTTTGGAGTGCATCTTCTGCGTGATCAACAGCCTAACGGAGCATTTTTCTACGTAGATTATTGTAACGCACGTTTTAAGAGTATATCAGTTTGTATATTTTATACACAAATTAAAAAAGGAACTTTTATGTGATATGTATAATTGGTATTTGCTATAAAACATCATTTTCATAATTATTAAAAGACGTTACTTCTATTATATAAACATTTTTATTTGACTAAAACGTCGTAAACTTGGAACTTTTTATCTTATTAGAATGTCACAACTGTTGAATACTTGTTTGACTCACTTAATAATAAAATGTTATTTCCATAACATTTTATCTGACTAATAAAAATTATTTTTATTTTTATTTAAATTTTTGGAGTGTCACAAAGACTCGCTTTAATAAGGGACACATAAAATAAGCAATGTTATAAGATCATGTTTTACTTCAAAAGGTTTAAAACACCGTTTAACATTAAAATGTCCAAAATAACCCTATACCTATATAAACACACAAACATTCATGAACACAAATATATAATATAATATGTGGGTTCGATCACCTCGTATGTGCACCCATACTCTTAACCCCTACCCTGCCTCTATACCTCGTACCCCCACCCTACACCCAATTCCACATCATTGACCCCTATCCCTACCCTTACCACGATCTTACACTCTACCCATACTCCCCTAAAACCCTTCATACCCACCCATACCTACTCGTAAGGGTCAGGGTAGGGAAGGGTGTGGGTGGGGTAAGGGGTATGGTCGGGGGTGGGGTGATAAGGTCTAGGGGTACGAGGTTGGATGGGGTAGTGGGTGGGTTAGGGTGGTGGTTGGCGGTAAGGGTGGGGTAGTGAGTAGGGTTGGAGTTGGGGTAAGGTAGGGGTAGGATAGGGAGTTGGGATAGGATGGCGGTAGGGGTGGGGGCGGGATCAGGGTGGGGCCGAGGTAGGGGTAGGGTGGGGGTAGGATGGCGGTACGAGGGTGGGGGTAGGATGGCGGTATGGTGGGGGCCGAGGTAGGGGCATGTGGGAAGGGATAAGGTAGGGGTAAGGGGTAATATACGAGGTGGGGGTAAGGTAGGGTGGGTCGGGGTGGGATTAAGGTGGTAGGGGTGGTGGTAGGGTAGGGTGGACCGGGGTGGGACCGAGGTAGGGCATGTGGTGGTGGGTGGGGGTAGGGTCATTGTAGGGAAAAGGGGTATGCGGGGTGGGGGTTGGGTGGGTAGGGTAGGGTAGGGGTAATGGGTAAGGTACGAGGATGGAGGTACTAGAATGGAATCGACATCGGAGCGGGATCAGACGTACCACTAGGTGTAAGTATGCAAATTCATTGCAGCGGCTCGTAACATCCGCGTTTTCCAAATTTGGAAAACTAGTAAACGTCACTTCTCCAAATCATTAAGGAAAAGAGAGACATGTCTCATTTTTTTCGTTTTGGAAAACGGTTTCGTAAACGCGTTTTTCTGTTTTCCTTTCTCCAGTTTTCCAACAAATTTCTTTGGTAAACACGTTTTCTGTTTTCTGTTTTCTAGTTTTCTAGTTTTCTGAAAAAATTGAAAATAGCTCTATTAGTAAACAGGCCCTGATAGTCCTATTTTGAAATTTCAAAACTTTTTTACTCATATTTAGAGAATTTACATTTCTTTAAATTCAAATCTAAATGAATGACATTTGATCACAAATATGAAATACTTCCTCCGGTTCTTATTTAAGTTCTTAGTTTGACTTCACACATATTAAGAAAATGAATTTGACTTTACTGTGGAGTGCACTGTTTGGCACTGTTTGGCACTGTAGGGTTTGGACACTGTTTGACACTGTTTTGCACTGTTTTGTTTCCTAAAATGGAAGTGTGAACTTAAATAAGGGACATCCCAAAAAGGAAAGTGGGAACTTTAATAAGAACCGGAGGGAGTATGTACATAGTATCATCTAAATACAACAACTTTATCTGGAGCATTGAATTGAAATCAAGCATTCAGATGCACTAACTAACGCTGCAACACAATGAACAAGTTTATGATATTTTTTACACCATCCGAAAAAACTTTGCAGTAAAAAATTTGCCAGACTATCCTCACAAAAAAATTAGCTGGAATTCATGACAAAAACTCAAAAAGTTGTGCCTAATACTCGTAATAATTTGCAAGACCGAGTTACTCACTCGCGACATCTCCAGCATGGAGAACTTGACCCGATTTACCGAACAAGGGCTGAGCCATCACCAATTTGTCGGCAAATTACCAAGACTTATCTCACCACCAATCCACCATTATATCCTTGCAAGTATTCAACGTGACTTATATCCGGTGGCGGAGCCAGAAATCATAGGTTAGGGAAGAGCGGCGGGCTTAAAGAATTTATTTTGTGAGAATGAAACTTAAAAATTCAATATATATTTTACTGCTTACAAATATTTCCAGCCTTCACCGTCTCCACCTCTTATTATAAGTTTATAACAATTTTATTGGTCAGGCGCTGTTGTCATTTGGCCATATCATTGGAACATTTCTTCACTACTAATGGTGAATTCGTCCAATCATAAGGAACTTCATGTCAGTGTGGTCGATCTTAAATGCAAGAGAATGTGACATTTATACTAAACGTTCCTATGACTAAATATGTCGCTTATAACACCGATGTAGTACATTTCATTAGTCTATTATAATAACTTATTGTATTGGGAGACATGAATGGTAATTTATCGATATCGTACCATTAGCGAACCGAAAATTCGGTATACCGAAATGCGGTATACCAAAACTTCGATAAGGTAACGGTATATAAATTTTGTATACCGAAAATTTTAGTATGGTAAACGTATGAGAGAAAGTATTCAGTATACCGTACCGAACCACCCTTCAGCCTACATTCGTTCGTCACGGGCTTAAAAAGTCAATTGATTAGTGCGTTTTTGCACATGGTAAAATCAGCAAGTGTATACAAGTAGAGAGAAACCATCGTGCTGGAAAGGCTTCTGTTGGGATATTGACCCGGAGGCCCAATCAGCGGATTAAAATGGCCCTGGATATCCAGCCCAAACAACGAGTCCACTACCCTATGATGAGTAGGCCCAATGAAGAATCCATACCGAACGAGGTTCGGTCCGAGTAGAGGTCGGCCCAGAAAGCAGAAATACCGAACGGAGTTCGGATCATACATCATACTTGGGCCAATTTGACAGCGTCTTCCGCATGGTCCAGCATCCCGTTTGAGCAGCGGGCAACCAACAAGTGGCCAGGTGCAATTAATGCCAGATTGTGACATCAGCAAGTGGAAACATGGGTGATCAAGTCGGTGAAACAACTGCCAATCAGCATAGAGCAGCACATGCTCTCCATTAGTATAAATAGAAGGTTTAATATCATTGTAAGGGTTAGCATTTTGATACTCAAGCTCTAGAATAGCATTATTACTCTCGTTTCTTGTATTAGAAGCATAGTTCTGACGTACTGATCGAGAAGTTTACTTGTAATCAAACAGATTAGTTAATACAAGTGGGTTTTTGAGTATTCGTTGATTCATCTTTTATATTTTGTTATACACTTTGATTCTGATCCATTCCTGATATATCCAAAGTTCGTGTTGGGCTTTCGGATCTGCGGGATTTAACCTCAACATTGGCGCCGTCTGTGGGAAACATTCAAAAAGTTTCACATTCAATTATCCAAAACAACTATTTTTGAAAATGGTCAGAATCAGTTTTTATCACACAAATGATGGTTCGCGCCGTCACGGAAGGAGTCAAACTCCGAGAAACCAAACCCCTCAGGGACAATCCAGCCGAGGATCATATCCTCATTATGGTGGGGACTTTGTCATTCCTGAAGCCCTAAGGAGGAATCCTCAGGCCATGCGAGATATGGCCCAGGTCATGCAGCACATGGCAAACGAGGAAGAAGAAGGATCCAATTTCACAGGGGAGACTCCCCACACAGAAACAACCACGGCGTCATCCCACTCACGGGCCCATCGGGATAATCGACGTGGCGCTCCAACAGCAGCACATCGTATCCCTAGTGACCGGACCCCGATCGGGTCACAATCCAGGGGACCTACTCCTATTGGCCGTCATTTCCAGCATGACGAACGGAATTATACTAGGGCTACGCAGAGGCACTGGGATCGGGGGTATGCAGATTTGAGGACTCCACCACCGCCCCCTTTGATGGCCGAGGAGGAAGAAATGGCCGAAATGAGGAGGCAGATGAATGAAATGAGAGATCAGATGAATGGCGCGCCCGTACAACCTGCTCCGATCCAGCTCGGGATCACTTCCCCTTTCACCAGGGAAATTATGTATGCGGATATCCAGGGAGGTGCCAAACCACCGACCGGTCAGATTTATGATGGGGTAGGCGATCCCCATGTCCATTTAAGGAGTTATCAAGGAGGACTCATGCTACTAGGAGCGCCCGAGGCTGCCATCTGCCGATTGTTCTTCAGTACGCTCAGAGGACCCACTCAAGAATGGTTCGGGACCCTGCAACCTGGGTCGATCAGCAGTTTTTCTGAAATATCAACGTTGTTCTTGGCCCAATTTGCCTCCAGTGCCAACCCAAAACGGCATTTCAGCTACCTGATTAGCGTAAAGCAGAACTCCAAGGAGACCCTCAATCAATTCTTGAAAAGGTGGAGGGACGAAACTCTGACGGTCGGAAACATGACAGATGACACCGCCATCACCCTATTCACTAACGCTCTCCGAACGGGAGAATTATACAAGGATTTGAAGAAGTATCCGGGTACGGCGTATGCTGAGGTGTTAGACAGAGCCCGCAAGCATGCTGCTCTGGAAGAAGATATTATGATCAGGGACAAGGTCGCTGCGCCTTCTGCCCATATCAAGATGGCCGATCGACTGGGTCCTACCCCAGTGGCCGCTCTCCCTCCTAAGCAAAGGCGATTTACTCCCCTGGTCCTGTCCGTGGCAACCATTTATCAGAACGAGAAGGACAACATTCCCTATCCGACTGATTCTTCAAATTATATGGGAGCAGTCGAGTCTGCTTTTTGTAAGTATCATAACAGGAAAGGTCACGCCACCAACGCTTGTAGGGCACTACAAAGTACAAACGGCCATTGAGGACTTGATCCGGCGGGGTCATCTGGGCAAGTACGTAAGTAAAGACCCGAATGCGGTAGGCACTTTAAAGCCGGTTAGAAAACCCAACAGCTGGCGACGGGATGCCCAACGTGATGCCCAACCCCAGAATGACGTATATATTCCTCCCAGAGACGAACCCGAGGGCTCGGGAGGCCCCGGAAAGAAACCTCGAATGGAGGTCAAAGTTATATTTGGGGGCGGGGAAACAGGGGATTCGAACGCCGAACGGAAAAGGTTCGAACGAAGTCTTTATGTAGGATCCATTTCCACTCCCCCCCAGAAGAAAGGAAGGGCGGGCCCAATCACATTTGGCCGGCTGATTTACCTAACTCGCCAAGCCCACACAGGGATGAATTGGTGGTGAGCATGTGCATTGACAATGCTTTGATTCGCCGGGTACTGATCGATACGAGGAGCAGTGTGAACGTATTGTATTTACAATCGTTCGAGAAAATGGGTCTACAGAGAAGTCAACTGACCCACCTAAGAACCCCACTGGCAAGCTTCACCGGTAAGTGTATTGAGGCTGAGGGGACCGTTCAATTGTTAGTTGAAATTGGGGACGAAACGCACAAGGCATTACTCCGAATGACGTTCGTGGTGGTGGACATAAAATGTGCCCATAATGCCATCTTGGGCCGACCGGGATCGGAAGATCTGGAGGCAATAGCCTCTGTCCGCCACTCGTGCATCAAATTCCCCACGGACACTGGGGTTGGGGTGGCCAGAACTGATCCAGTGACGGCTCGAACGTGCTACCGAGAGGCCCCGAAGCAGATGAATACATGTGGAATGCGGGTTAACAGTATTGAGGTAGAAACCCACCGAACGGAGTTCGAGGCGCATCCAGAACCTGCTACTCTCCTCGAGCAAATTGACCTGGACTCCCCCCCGAACCGAAAGGTAGCTATCGGGGTGGATCTGGAGGCTGACATTCGGGATGGCGTGATTGCCGTCCTAAAAAAGTTTCAGGTATTATTCGCCCGAGGACCGGAAGATATGTCGGGCATTGACCTAGAGATAATCTGTCACAAGCTTGCCGTTCGGCCTGACGCAAAACCGGTCCAACAAAAGAAACGATACCAAGCGACCGAACGGCGGGATTTCACAAAGCAGGAAGTGGCCACATTGCTGAGAATAAAACAGATCCGTCCGGTAATCCATGTCGAATGGCTATCCAATGTGGTCCTAGCCCCAAAAAAATCGACTTGGAGGATGTGTGTGGATTACTCGGATCTGAATAAAGCTTGTCCCATGGACCTTTATCCGGTGCCGAGGATCGATCTGTTAGTGGATGAAACGGCCGGGTTTGAATTGTTGAGCTTCATGGATGCATTCCGGGGATATCATCAGATTTTCATGCACCCAGATGATGCAGAGAAAACATCGTTCGTTACTTCGGATGGTGTGTTTTGCTATATTGTCATGCCATTCGGGTTAAAGAACGTAATGGCTACGTTTCAAAGGATGACCGGCATGCTCTTCAAAGAGGTGTTGGAGGTCACAATGGAGGCTTATGTTGATGATATCCTGATCAAGAGCCGGAAGAAGGAGAATCATATCCTGGACATAGAAAAGGTGTTCGGGATAATGCAGAAAGCAAACATGAGGTTGAATCCCAAAAAATGTGCTTTTGCTGTGAGAGGGGGCAAGTTTTTGGGATACATGATGAGCGAGAAGGGGATTGAGCCTAATCCTGAGAAGATAAAGGCAATTGTGGATATGGAAGCTCCTAGAAACCTCAAGGAGGTGCAGAGATTGACCGGTCGGTTAGCAGCCCTGAGCATATTCCTATCCAAGCTAGCCGATCGAGCTATTCCATTCTTCCAGATCATGAAAAAAGCCAACCCCTTTGAATGGACCACCGAATGTCAAACGACCTTTGAAGATTTCAAGGCATACCTATCTTCTCCCCTGGTCTTGACAAAACCCGATCCAGGGGAACACCTGTATATGTACCTTGTTGTAGCTGACCTGGCCGTGAGCACGGTATTATTGAAAGAAGAGGATGGCGTCCAGCGGCCGATCTATTTTGTAAGCAAGGCTTTGAACGGGCCGGAAACCAGGTACATTTTACTGGAGAAAACAGTACTGGCCCTGATAGCTGCTATTAAACGTCTAGCACCATATTTCCAGACCCATCCGATAACTGTGTATACTACTCAGCCACTCGCCACCATCTTGAGAAACCCAATGGCAAGTGGGCGCATTACAAAATGGAGTCTCCTGATCGGGCAATATGAGGTGGATTTCAGGCCTCGACCTACTATCAAAGGGCAGGCCCTGGCGGATTTCATTGCAGAATGTACCGCTCGGCCTTCGG